CATTATACCTGAATAGATCTTTCTTTGGGTTACTTTTTTTCTAATTCTACCTATTATTTTGAGATATGCGATTACCCTTTTTTAATTACTTTGTTTTGGAAATATATTACTTATATTTTTTTGTACACTTTTTCTTAGAGAACTCATTGGTGAAATTTTTTATGCAATTTTTTGTGAAATCAAGAATTACTTGTCTTTAAATCAAATTTCAATAATATTAAATTACTAAATAGATAGGCAAGTTTTTTTAAGATCTTTGTCTCGAATATTTTTCATTTTGTACATATTCAAATTTTTATTTATTTTTTAAGACTTTTATATTAATATATATTTTTTGTGATTTTATCGATTTTCTCATTTTTGGGCTTTTAGCCAGCTACTTGGTGAGCGCGGTTCCGCTTCTATCCGTGCTAATTACAGCTAAATGAGCTCGGCGTCGCTTGGCTCGACTCAGCTCAGCTCAGTTATAATTGGCTGGGCTCGTCTCAATGAAAAACGAACATGAAAATATTTTAGCCGAGCTGAGCTGATGTAAGCTGAGCTGAGCTGATGTAAGCTGAGCCGAGCTAATGTAAGCCGAACCGAGATGACGTAAAGCGGGACCAAACAAAATATCCACAAAAACAGAAAATTTTTAAATTTTTTTTTTTTAAAAAAAAAAACAACTCGTAAAAGCGAAGCTGCAAACCTAAAAGTGCTTCCATGGCCTTCTTCCGTTTTTCTGGGTTTTCAAGTTTTTGCGGGTGCTGGACCTAGAAGGCATCCGCATCAAGCATTTGCCAGATGAAGTGGGATGCCTCATTCATCTGAGGTACGTTGGATTAAGAAATGCGAGTCTTACAAATGTTCCCGAGTCGCTCAAGAACTTAAGACGCTTGCAAACGCTGGACTTCGAGGGATTCGAGGGGAAGCTCCCAACTGCAATTTCTAAACTCCATTATTAAAGTTCAAATAGGTCCTGATCCGTGAGGTGAGGTGGGTCATCCTCTACCATCACGGTCAATATTTTACATGAACATCCAACATACCCAAGTGAGAGAGATTGCTCTCACTGAGGAAACACAACCACTTCTCAATGATAAAATTCACATGGATTCTTAAAGTTTTCGCAGTGAAGGAAAGTCGCTGCTGATGGGTGCTCCCGCGCGGCAACTTTAGTGAAAGTCGGGCACACCCTATTCCCCAACAAAAAGCACTCAATCGATTGAGCTGAGCTCCTGCCACTCAATCTACCACCCGGTCGCCCACTCTTCTGCATCTCCTACAAATTTATATTTAAGAAATTTTTGCCCTGTATTTTGATTAACCCGAATAAATCTATGGAAACCCTATAGTGGTGAGTGAACATCAATTTTTGTTTTTCCTTATTTTACAAGTTTTAAAGAGGGTTGACTTTGAGCTGCAAACCTTAACCCTGGTTTGGCATTTTCTTCGCTTTGATTGATCTGCTGCAAACCCTAACCCTGATTTACAGTTTGTCACAAGTCAATAAAATTTTATTTCAACGAAATCGTGAATAAAAATTATGCCTGGAAATTTTGATTCTCTTATGAAAAAAAATAAAACGAATCTGGTTAATTTATGGAAAACTATAAAAACAATGTTTGTGTTTCCTGATTTGTCGAAATAATGGTCAATCAAAGAGTAAATGTGAACCTGAATTCTATGGAAACCCTAGAGTGGCGAGTGAACATTAATTTTTTTTTCTTTGATTTACAGTTTTTAAATCACTCTAGTTCACTTTGATGTATCAAAATAATGGTCAACGACTTGATAAACTATAAAAAGAATGTTTTTAAATCACTGATTTATTTTGGGTCACCAAAAAGGGTTACATGTTGCAAAGATAAATTAATTTCTTTTTCACCGCCTTACATCTTTTATATTTATGTAGAAATTACTATTGTTCATTCAAAGTTCTATGCAGCATAACATGCTAGTTTAATGCTCAAGATGCTATCTTTTGATCTCAACTGATGGATTTCTAATGGGATTAGTTGGTATTAGCTTACAATTCTGTAGCTCTTTTTTGGGTTGTTAGCCTTTGATGAACTCAACAGTATGATAAATAACTTCCTCTTAGAATTTTGTAATTTTTGGCTGACTTTCTGTTACAATTTAAAAAATGAGCCTATTTATTGTTCATTTGTTGGCTATTGATTTTTTTGGTCATGGTAAATTGAGGGAGTAAATATGTGATAATCAATTCCCAACGTGTTTAAGAAAGGTAAGAGTTGAGGCTAGAGAAAGAGTCTGTCGTTGTAGAAGATTTGTTGTATGGGTTTAGTTGACGAGTCGTGTAATTCTGAGTCAATAAAGGGAGTTAAGAGACAGAGAGAAGTTGTCTATGCAAGTGTGGGTGATATAGATGAGAGTGAGAGATTGGTTGTCTCTGTTAGTTAAATGCAATTGGAAGGAATCTTTGTAATAGCAACCTCTGCCTAGGGGGGGAAACATGTATGAGAGAGTGATGGGTTTCCGCAACTATGGCAGATTGTGCGTATAGAAAGACAGACTTCGAATATAAAGTTGGAGAGAGACTGCAGTAAAATGCACAAGGTAGTGTGTGTGTGAGAGAGAGGTATTCTGGTATAGATTTGGATTGTTGGAGCTATCTGAGGTCTGGATTTAAATTGCTTGGCCTATTGACCTATAAATTTATAATAGTCTCATGACTGCATTTCAAGCAACAAAGAGAAAGGAGATGAGTCCCACAGCTGCGTATTTGAGAACTAGTGCTTGATTTTGCTTCCAATGAAATGGACATCTGGAACGCTGCTTGCTAGCTCTATTTCCCTCGCATTTCATGTCACATTTCCAATTGGAATTTATTCATGCATGGATCAATGCTTATTGATGAAGTTTATTGCATGAATCAGTAGTCAATAATTTTTTGCATAAATCAACGCTTATTGCGTGAATCAATGCGTATTGATGTAATTGTGGGCATGCTAATTTACTGTCTTCTGTTGCCTTTCAAGATAGTATCAGTCTTTCACTGCCAATGCGTCGAAATTGTTAGGATAGGATCTATTCACATCTCTTTGAGTTCTTGTGATCTTTACTTTCCTTATTTAACTCTGAAAATAATTTTTTTCAGTCAGTTGATTGATCAAAACTCTGTGACCTTTTCTCTTCATGACGTTTGTCTTTTTCAAGAACATCAAAATGAGAAGCTGATTGTTAGATGTCTTTTATGTCTAGACCGTCTTTTGGAACCTACTTTTGCATCATTTGCTGCTTAAACTAGCAGTCACAAGTCACAACTCACACATACATGGTGTCTCTAGCATAATAGATTGGGGAAATGAATTGTCATTAGACTTCAAATATTGCTTGCTTCTGGTCCCTTTGTTCTAATTCATGTATTTTTCATTGAAATCTCAAATAATTAGTAGGGTTGCAACTTTTGTAAAAACAGGCTAAGCATCACGACTTATTTCTACATGTCTTTTTCATTGAAATCTCAAATAGTTAGTAGGGTTGTAACTTTTGTAAAAACAGGCTAAACATCACTACTTATTTCTACAATTTTGAGAATAAAACTTTGCTATGTAGCTACATTTGATTCTGTTTATTCGAATGTCAAGGGCCCATTTTCTGTTATAGATTGGACGAACATGACATTGCAACACAGTTGTGTCCATTCTGGGAATAAAACTTTGCTATGTAGCTACATTTGATACTCTCTCTCTCTCTCTCTCTCATTATCTCTCTGTTTGAGTGATTGCTTTCATGTTACTATTTCAAAGGAGGCAAATCTTCTGTATTGTACTGGTGTGATGACAAAATGGAATGGTTAGCTTTTAAACTTTTAAATATCTATTTCTTAAATAATAGGAATATGTTTACTCTTACATGCTGCTTGTGTATTGAGTGAAATTTTGATATTAAGAAAATTAATTTCGTTTCTTGTTTATGTAAATATTGGTAGCATCAAAGGGGGTTCATACTTTTATGAAATCTCCAATCACAATAAAGTATTTCTTGAATCTATTTACTTGTTTGGTATTATTATATTTGATGAATGGAAGGAACCTTATTTAATTACAAAATGTTATTGAACCTCATTTTGCACATCATATCAATAAAATACATAATGAACTGTGTTACATGTAGTTTCCAGCTTTCCCGTTACCAAACAGGTGAAAGTACGAGCACTACAGTTTATCAAATAGGGTTTCCAGCTTTCACCCTACTAATTTTCACCTACATCCCAGAATTCATTTCACCTGCATCCCAAAATTCAGGAAAGTCAACAGCAAGGGTGATTCTCAGGGGGAGATTGCAGTGGAAGTTAGTCTCATCCCTCTGTTTTTCAAGGATTTTGTGTGTTTTATTAATAAATCCCTCTCTCTTTATTTTCCTTAATTTACTCTCCTTCCGTCCCACCATATTAATAAAGGAAAAAATTTATATAGAGCCGAGGCTCTAAACAATCAAATTAGAGCCCACCTCAAAAATTTCACTAGAAGAGGTTGTTTTGATGTCCAAATATCCTGAAATTGATCATCTTGACATCAAGATGCATGGACTTGAGAAAGAAATGGATTTCAAGTTTGGAAATAATGCATCTGTAGCACATTTTGGACCGTCAATTTTCAAGCTTTTCAAGTTTTCATAGATCTGCTCGATTTACACTATTTTTAAGCTTTAAATTTTATAATTAAAGATGAAAATATATTTTAAGGCTATCACAAAGATTTCCGGCCTCTCTCTCAACATGGTCTCTCTTCCCCCTCTCTCTCTTAGCTTGGTCTCTTTCTCCACATTTAAGATCGTATTAGAAATACATGCATTTTTTTTTAAAAAAAAAAGAATAAATAATCATTCATTAGACATGCATGCAAGTTCCTCTTTTTATGGCGCCTTTCTCTCTTCAGTCTTCATAATTAAAATTGTAGTCTCTCACTTTTTTGGGTAACTGTAGCCTCTCTCTCTCTCTGTCCCTCAATGTGGTCTATTTTTCTCCCCCCTCTCTCTCTCAACTTGGTCTCATAGATATGCATCATGACTAAGAGAGAGATGCTTCTAAGGAATGGCATCTACTGGTGCTTACCTGAGTGTTTTGGAAGCAGCATTATAGAGTTTTTTGCTGAGCTCTTCGATGGAACTAGAGAAATGATAAGTATATTTACATGAATGAAACACATTTTTTTGTTGATCTCTCTTTTTTTTTTTTTGTCTCTTAATCTATTGGCCCCGTTGCTTGAAGCTTATACCATCAAAACCGCTAGAGTTGCCAAGGCTAATCATTGATGAATGGCCTTTAGAGCATTGAAACGAGTAATTGCTTACTAGGTTAGAGCTTTTCTTTCTTTTCTCTTTTTTTTGTCCTTTTGAAATATCTATAAATTTTTTGGAGTGGAACAAATCCTGATTTTCTTTGTTGATGGCATACATGATTTGAACACTCTAATTGTATGAATGATACATAGCGTAACATTTTTTAAATGCTTATAGTCATCTTCATATATTGTATCATTGTACCAATGAATATTATCTTATATTACGAAGAGATTGGTTTCTCTAAAGGCCATTCATCAATGATTAGCCTTGGCAACTCTTGCGGTTTTGATGCTATAGCTTCAAGCAATGGGGCCAATAACATCTTACATAGTGGGAAAGAGAGAGGGATTTGTTAACATGGTGAGAACACGTGGTGGAATAATAGGGGGTGCTCCTCTCGCGTAATATATAATACCTGAATATAGGATATTAAAAACAAACAATATCTTAATACATGTACAGCTGTTCCCAAAGAGATATGACTTACGAATCCATTGCTTTAAAATGCCAGCTATGACAAGCTGGACTTAATTTGAATTGAGACAATTATATAAAGATACAAGAAAATAGACTGCCTTACCACTTATGGATACCCCTTTATACACGATACCTCCCTCATGGCTGCCGAGTTAGCTTATCTTCTTTTCCTATCTTTTCTGTGACGTTATTCATCAGAGATGTAGACATGCTGTTCAAAGTATTGGTATGTGAAGTGAACAAATGCACAATTGGATGCCCAAAGGAGCATTTATTAAATTTCATCCGAGTGATAGGGGGATGACTTTCCCTTTGCATAGATCGAATACAGGCTTAGATTGTAGGTCATCAATTTTCTTCTCTATATGGATTTTTAGCATCACTTGACTTGGATATTGCACGTGGAATGCACTATGTTTTGAGGTGGTTCCATAGAGATCCTGATGGTCAATTGTGAGTTTTCAGGGATCTTTGGGTGGTTGTTTATCACGAGATGCATATTTGGCTTTAGTTGTTATGATTGGATAGCTTGTAATGATCTGAATTGCATTTCAGAGTACTCTAGTTGTCGGTATTGTATTATTCTTGAAATGCTCAAGATGCTCCTAATATTTTGGCTCGGGGAGTTAGTAACTTTGAGCTCTCATTTCACTTGGCTTGTGAAAGGTGGAAGCATCCTGGCTGTGAGATTCGGCATTTGCTTAATTACAATGCAAACACAGAATACGAGGAAGGGAGAATGAAGTTCAAAGCATTTCTCAGACCCCATGGTGTCAATCTCCTGGAAAGAAGTGGCTGTTCTTTCCTTTTCTTCTTAATGTTACTTGTACTATTTCTCTTAGTTTTTGATGGTGAAAAAGCTTTTTAATCTCTCTCTCTCCCCCCCCCCTCTCTCGTCCTTGCAGGATTTATTCCGGCTTTTGACAAGATTGGTAGGGTCTGTCACCTCTACTTGACACGTGACCATGCGATTCTGCTTCACAATCTTCTTAATGGTGATGGCATCCAGGCCATTGCGCAATTCAAAAAGGTCGTATCCTTTTTTAAGCTAGTCATGTATGAGTGATCGACTCAGGTGTGGTATTGATTGCGTTATGGATCCTTTTTTGGCAGGAGGTTCTCTTTGAGGATTACAGGATTTCTAGTCAAAACGATGATCGCATTGCATTGGCAGTGGACCTAGGACTGCTTCACCGGGCTCTACGGAGCAGTGTGAGCATGGACGGTGACAGGCTGCAGATCAAGCTCGTCAAGAAGCGTGCCGTTGCCTCTGAACACCCGATGCCTTTCCTTACGTTTGAAAGCAAGGTCCTCTCTCTCTCTCTCTCCTGTTTTACAACTTCTCTTTATGTGTCTATTCTTTTCTTCTCCATATGGTGGTTCGCAACAGGGCTACAGGTCTGCAGTCATCCAAGATGTGCCAGTTTCCAAACCCTTGTCAAGGGTGGATGTGCATCATCTCCAAACCGCTCTTGACATGGCACAGGGCCTGCCTCAGGTCACACTTTCCTTCCTTCTATTCGTGCCCTTGTTTTCTTTGTATATATCTCGGACAGCTACTAAAAGAGGAAGAGGCTCCACCACCTTTCTTGTGCAGACCTTGGTTCAAGTTCCCGACTTGTTTCAGTTGCAATCATTGGTGGAGCGCCTAAAGCATGTGGGAGAGTTGCTGAATGTTTCGATCACCCAGTATGGTGATCTCCACCTCCAAGTCTCATCTACTCTTGTAACCCTTGGCACCGAATATCGCAAATTACGCGTTCTTGGAGTCCAAGGTCTTCCCAAATTTCCTTCTGTGTTGATCAGAAACAAACACAACTAATTGGTTTCAACTTTCAATTTGATGCAGATTTATAATTTCGATAAATGTGAATGTGAATGAACACTTGAGAACTATTATCAATCGTATTCATCACCTCATTGTCAATAGTAGCAATAGAGAGAACTTCCATCTGGTATAAAATTGACATCGTGCTGACCACGTGCCAATATTGTGTACATGGGGAGTGATTTCATAAAACTGTAACTCTCTCTGAACAAGAAATATATAAGGAAAATGCAAACAAAGAACTCACTTTTCTCCATCATAATTCATTTTTTGATATTTGCAAGTTGAAGGGCTCAGAAAATATCTGTGAACAACTCATCCATGTCCTATGATGGTTACAAACATTGAAACTGCTTGTGGAGATTGAAAGGCCTGTGAAACATGTGATGATGCAAAAACATTCATCAACAGTAGTTTGCACGTAATAGTTAGAAATATTCCTCTGGTATATTGAAAGTCCTATTATCAGAATGAGGGTAAGATTGGTTTGGTAGAATAAGCTTTTTCTTTTGAATTTCAGTGGATGCGCCTGCTGTAGATGACTCTATCAGTGCTTCTGCTAGAATTGAACTGGCACTTCAGAGAGGGGAGGCCTCATCGGTGGTGTGTAACCATTTCTGCTGTGATTTGAGTTTTAGGAGATGTGTTCCTTACTTGTTGCCTAAGATGGAAATGTGTTATGTGTTTTGTGCTGTTTGGGCAGCAAGTTAGCATGAAGCACTTTGCCAAGAGCCTTCAGTGTTACTTGACAAAGCCAGATTCTGCTTTCTATGGTCAGTTAGCTCAGAACCAATGACTGTCCCAAGTATCTTTCCTTTGTTTCTAACAAAGAATCTCTATTGTGCAGGTATTGCTTCGCAGGGTGCTTGCTTGACTGTAATATTCCAGTTCTTTATCCCAGGCACAAGGCAGACAGACAGATCTATCAGTTTACATTGCAGGTTACCTGTTCTTGACACTGGAACAGCTTAGACAATATATGTTTCTCCTTATCACAAGCTGGGAAGTGGAGAAGTTTGTTTTGCTTCTCCTTTTGCATCATTTGAAATGCTTTTTTTTTTTTTTGTGAAATTGACATATATGCTAACAAAATAAACTATAAGCAGTTTCCTATTGTAAGTATTAGTGCTACTCATTTTTGCGTGCTACCCTTTGTTCTTAGTGATGCTGCTGCAAATCATTTGAGTGGAGCTCCTCTTGAGTTTTCTATTTATGATACAATTTATTCAAAGCTGCATACAGGATGATCCAGTTGTTAAAAAAAGGCCCATTTTCTACATGCTGCTCTTTTTCCTATTTAGGGCTCTTGTATAACCCATCTAATGGTAATGTTAATTCGCCTTTGTGACCAATACAATATATACCCTTATGCGCTCACCCATCAAGGGGTAAGTATATTTCACCATTGTGACCAAATATAATATATCCCCTACAAAGCTGAAAACTCCACTCAAATGATGCTGTTGCAAATTATTTGAGTGGAGCTCCTCTTGAGTTTTGAATTTACGATACAATTTATTCAAAGCTGCACACAGGATGATCCGGTTGTTAAAAGATCCATTTTCTATATGCTGCGCTTTTTCCTATTTAGGGATCTTATATGCAATCACCCATCTGGTGGTAAGGTTAATTCGCCTTTTTGACCAAATATAATATATCCCCTTATGCGCTCACCCATCTAATGGTAAGGATACTTCGCCATGGTGAACAGATGTAATATATCCCCTACAAAGTTGAAAGCTCCTCTCTCTCTCTCTCTCTCTCACACGCCAAAGTGCGGACTTATGGATTTCTTTGGCTAGATACCATGTGAATGTGCATGATGTCGTTTATGGAATTCTTTGGCTAGATAGAATGTGAATGTGCATGATGTCGTTTTAACGCAGAAAATATTATTGACCATAAATGCGTTTAAAATGTACTATTATGTGAGGGGCAGGAGAATTAATTTTCATGTCCTTTAAAAATGAAGTCGGATTTTTTATGAGATTTCCTCAACCCTGATTTTCTCCTATCTGGGTTGGGTTCTAAATTTAACTCTAATACTCTTATTTTCAATTTATATATAGTACAAACAGTGCAATTTGTTGTAATCAAAATTTTGGAAGTAGGATTTTCTTTTATTGTTAAATTTTTTCTTCCGAAAAATTGTAATCAGTTTTTTATTATCATGAAGAATTAAACAATATTTTTAATTTCTATTGTTAAATTTTTAGTTCAAAAAAATTAACAATAAACCCTAAACCCTAAAAGAAAAAAGAAAAAAAACGAATAGATTTTGAAATACGAGCCAACATTTATCGTAGTCCCGAGTTACTAGCTGTGTTAGGCAATGCAAATGCGCTTCTCACATGAGGTAACCAGTCTCTCTAATCCACGTGCCCCCAATGATTCCAAAACTAATGCCATTACTACAAACTGGATGATCCTGTTGAAAACTTGAGGGAAGAGATGAACCCACTTTCAGAATTAGGGGCAGTGTCGTGAGACTATTGATGGCAAAGATCAAGCTTTTACTAGAACTATGAGAACTCTGTAAATTTCTGTGTCCCTCTCCATGACCATGAAACCTTTTTTAAAGAGGGATGGAGTAGGTCGTTCTCCAATCGGCTTCCTCCTGAAATCTCTAAAAAAACGTGTGGTGGTTACTTTTTAACCAATAGATAACGACACTCTCTCTCTAATAAGCCTCATTTTTTAGAGATAAGCATTAAATTATAAGAGAGAGAAATATTGATCACACATATCTGATGTTTGCATCGCAAAAAAAAAGGAGAGAGATATTGGACAAGTTTGATACATGCTACAGCCTTGATCACCAAATAAAGTCAGTTTTCCAACTATCCGCAAGGCGGGAATCCAACTTACCATAGGACTTTGTACTCATCCTCTTCATACCTAACCGGTGAGATGATAGGATAGTCCGTGATTCCAATATCCGACATTCCATAAATAAGTTAATAATGATATTCAACAAATAATAAAATTAAAATTAAAATTAAAATTAAAAGGATATTTATAACATTAGACTCAAAAAAGGACCTCCGTGAAAATTTTGGAAAAATATATTATGTAATATGAGATCCTCCATAAACTTCCCATTTATTATTATTATTATTATGAAAATATTAACTTTGTATAAAACAAAAAGAGGCGTGCATATTACAAAAAATTTTTACTGTCGACAGCTTTGGACCACTATACAACAACCAAGATGGTGGTAGAATAAAAACATTGCCATACTAGTGAGATTATAAAATATGGATATTATGCGATACGCGACAAGTGCTCTAGAGGCTAGAGCAATGCTTGGGAAGCACCGTCCTTAGCCAGTCCATCGGCCACTTGGTTGGCTTCTCGTCGAGTATGCTTCGGATAAAGCAGATGTATGCATGCAAATCTCATAAAAAACTGTTTGTAAGTCTCCAAGGGGACTGGCCTCACGCGAGGCCCAAGAGATAGATGTTTCTAGAGTCATAATCAACAACCAAAACTATGTTCCAAGTGGGATTGAAGTTTGTAAGACCATCCAAGAGCACACAGGCTTCTACTGCTGTACAATCTGTCCGCCAATGAGAAGGGAAAAGAAGAAAAGGGAAATTCTTTCGTGATTCCTAAAGATGCCCTCAAGGCTAGAATTGTTCAGGGAGCACCTATCCAAGTTGTAGTCTCCATAGAGATGAGAGTAGGACTGATCTGGGCTTTTGGTGAAGGATGGCTAGCCAATTGAGACCGAAGTGAGGCGCTTGAAGTGGTTGTAGTTGGTGGCCCATAAAATCACCACTGATGGTCTCCTTTAAACTTCCTTTTTATTTTTTGACAGGGCCGCAACTATGTCAAAATAAAAGCCTCACCTCAAAATTCATTAAAAATTAGAGTTTTGGTGTCGAAAAACTTTCAAGTTGATCATCTTGGACTTGATGACTATGACTGTAGAAAAAAAAAAACAAAAGATTTTAAGTTTTAAAAGTAATATATATTATAATATAAACTGCTAATTTCACTCTAAAAATAATAGAAAAAATTTATATAGAACCGAGACTCTAAACAATCAAATTAGAGCTCACCTCAAAAATTTCACTAAAAGAGGTTGTTTCGATGCTCAAATATTCTCAAATTGATTATTCGACATCAAGATGCATGGACATTAGATAATAGACAAAAATTTAATTTCAAGTTTTAGAAATAGTGCATTTTGTAACGTATTTTTGGACAGTCAATGTTCAAGATTTTCAAGTTTTCCTAAATCGACTTATCTAAGCTATTTTTTAATATTTAAATTTTATAATTAAAGATGTAAATGTAGTTCAAGGCTACCACATGATTGAAACCATATTTCTGAACAATATTTTAAGATGGGCTATAATTTGATCTCTACAAACCGCACCCAAAAATAATTGTTCACTGATCCGCAAAATATGTAAGCTTCAAAATTTAAAATAGGGTCTGGAAAATAATTTTAGAGCCGTCATATTGATATCTAATGCTCTAAGGTTCGAGGCCAGGGCTTATATAGAAACTGCATCATTTTTCCCCATCGAAGGGGAGACAGAAAAGGTGAAAGCACACAAACTAAAACTTACATAGCCCTATCAGATGCCAGTGCAGGCTCCTGCTTGCTTCATGGCTTACTTGACTGTTCCATTCATTCAATCATTGGAATGAGAGAGACTCCTGGAGTGATGCAGGTTTAGGGTAGATTCATGTGATGCAATGTATGGTGTTGTAATAACAACAGCAGGAGTGGCGCGGCCACCGCAGAATGCGGTGGACTGGTTACCCGACTTCTGTGGCTTCTCATGGGTGGCCTACGCCTGTGCCTCTTCCTCTCTCTTTACAATCATTTCCTTTCATACCTCCTCAAATTCAACAACAACAACAACAACATCATCATCAGCACAATTCCGCCAAGTTATCCAGCCTCAAAAAGAAGAAGAAATAGTGAAAGCAGTGGCATGGTCTCCTTCAGTACCTTGCGATGGCACTATGGCGGTTGCTTCATGCAGCCATGTTCACATCTATGCCCCCTCTTTTCTCAAACCAACCCCTCCCCTTCATAACGATGCAAATGATGACCATCATCATCATCTACCCGGTAAGTACTTCATTACCAATCATGATTGTGTTAATATGCTTTGGGTGGGAACTTGTGATTTTATTTGATCTCGAATACCTATGTATTTTTTATTTATTATTGGATTGTTGACCAAAATCTGATGCATCCAAAGCAACCAACTCTTGTTCTCATTGATATTGTCCTTTCATCGTGAATGTTCTAAGTGCTCACGCCACTGTTTTGCATTAGTGCATTCTTGTTCTTCCGTTTTTTTTTTTTGGTCTTCGGTTTTTGAAGGTTGAAGCTCTCTGATCACATGGTCTGTTCTTCGAAGTTTTCACTGAATCTTGGATTTGGCTCCTGGCCAGAACCAAAATTGGTATATTACTTTATTTTTTGGAGTAAGAATTGGATGCTATTAGAAGGACACGCCTAAATGTTGTCACAAAATTTCACAAGACCATTTTGGCTTTCAGATGCTATACCCAAGATTTCAGCTGGAATTCTTTCCAAAGTGGTCACTGTTTTTCCTCATCTTGCTGTGTTCTTACACAATCAATTCAGCAGAATTCTTATTGATAATGGGGCAGCATCTTAAACTAAAAGAATGCTTTTGTGGTCTAATTTGGCCAAAATTTGGAACTTAGAAATTCAATTGAATTTTGTGCAAAGAATTTGCTTTTTGAATCTCAGCTGATGAAATCAATCCTTTTGTTCAAAATTCAGTCTTTTAGTGTACCAAACTGTCAGCCATCATTAGCCTTCGCCTTGTTCTTTTTGTTCATCTTGAAATCATTGCAGAAACCAAAATCTTTCGCCTGAAACAAATATGGTTCTCGTTGCTGACTGGCCCTTCATCTCACATTTTTCAGATACTCACTTGAGTTGGAGGCAGATTGTAGTGCTGGTGCAGTCTTCCCCTGTGGAGGCAATAGCATGGACGGGATCAGGGGACGGAATCATTGCAGTTGGCATCGAGGTGGTGATGTGGAAGAAGAAGAGCAACAGTGACATGTTGCCATCATCATCAGAATCATCATGGGAGACAATCTCCAAGTCGAGAATTGAAGGAGAGCCCTCTCAAAACCTGGTTTCTGCAACCTGGTCTGTCCAAGGACCTGTGGCAACCACTGCTCAAGGTTTCCAGGTCGAGATCCCATCATCATCTAAAACACCTAGTGCTACCACGGCTATGAGGAAGGTTATGCTCTGGTTTGGTGATGGCGATGCCCACATAGAGCTCTCTCATCCTCAGCCCGTTATGATGATCCAATGGAGGCCAACATCATCATCCAAAGGTGATGATGGTCCTCACCCTCTGAGAATGAATGTGCTCTTGACTTGCTGCTTAGATGGGGTCGTGAGGCTCTGGAACGAGATCGACAGTGGGAGGAGTCGAACTGATAAGAGGTTCAGAGATGCAAAGCCATCCTTTTATGTCACTGCCGTTATTGAAATCGACCGGTGCTTGAATGGGAAACTTGGGATCGATGTATTTGTGGTGTGGGCAAAAGAAATCAGGGGCGTAAATGCTGCATGTGATGAATTTCTCACAGATGCTTGTCTTAGTTCAGAGGAGGAAAAAAAGGCTGGGTATTGCGAGTGGTTGATCGGGGTTGGACCAGGTTCATCTCTTTGTTTTTGGGCCATCCATTGCCTCGACAACGTGTCTCCATTGCAATGCCCCCGCGTGCATCTGTGGAAGAAACAAAGCCTTGAAGCTTCTGAAACAACGGATATTATTTATGATTCAAAGGATTCAGTGTTCAGTCGCAGTCCTATTTTTCTTACCGCTGTTATATCAAGGAGTAGGTCATCTGCTCCGCCGACCTCCGCCTGCTTATTTCAATTGTTACCCAACAATTCCTTTAGGTGGTCTTATTTAAAAGATCCACCATTATCAGATGATTACTCTTTCTCCGTTCAGTCCATGAAGGAGAAACGTTTGTCTTGTATTGTTCACAGTGTTCTAAACCAGGATGGCCATGTTGGGAATATTGAGCTGCTCATGCTGCACCCTTTTATTTACGAAGTTGAGCTTGCTGTTTCTTTGGATTCTAATGGTTGTGTTGTTTTCTGGTCCCTCCCAACCATTCCTAACCATGAGATGGGCATGCCAACTCTGCCTCACCTTGCTTGGAAATTTCTTGGTAAAATCCTTTCCGATGACCTGCCTTTGGGTGCTAAATATTCAACTTTGGCATGGGGACCTTTGGTTGTAGATGGGAATACACTTCTGCTGATTGGACATTCACATGGAATTGACTGTTTTATCGTTAGCGTCGTTTGGAGAAAAGGCAATGCTGCCAACATGGTGCAGCACTGCAAGATCCACACGATCCTTTTCCCTAATCAGAGTATCAATAGTGCCTTAGACAGATTACATGCGACCCATCTACCTCCCACCTGTGGCCAAGGTTTTAATTGCCATCGCTTTTTATTGATGGGGTTCAGGATGGAAGGTTTTCATGCTTCGTCCTGGGAAGTTGTGTTGCACTCCGATGATTTATCCAGGAGTGGCTGCTGTGCATGCGATTCTGTTTCAGGAAGCACTCCCACTCCTACTGCCAATGCCATTGTTCACCAACCTATATTTTCCACCAGAAAATATCGTCTTTCTGCCATTCTGTGCTCTCCTAACTTGTTTGATACTTGCAACAAAGGTCATCAGGTGACAAGTGTTGCTGTCCCTTGCGACAATAATCTGATGGCGTACTTACCTTACGGATCAGGGGCTTCTTCACATGATGGTTTGTGCTATGATGTTTCTGCCTGTCACTTGGCCTCAGGCTTCTCGAATGGTGTTGTGAAGCTGTGGAGAATAACTGGCCCACCGGAGTTATCTCTGTATGATTCTGAGACTCCATTTGAGTGCGTCGGTATGTGGAAAGCACACCAGGGTCCAGTAAGCATGATAGCCTTGTCCACTTCTGGGTGCAAGATTGCAACAGCTGGAGTGGGCTGCCCAAACAATAGCAATTCCGTATGCATCTGGGACCCTGTTAACATCTTTGATGCAGGGCATTTTGTACTAGAAGATGAAATCAACCTGGATGGGGTTGTCATTGCTTTAAACTTTCTTGTTATTGGCAATGGACGCCTTCTTCTAGGGGTTTGCTTGCAATCAGAGTTGCGCGTTTATTCTCAGCGAAGGTATGATGGCTGCGTATCTGCAGAACCAGGAGAAACTCATATTTGGTTTTGTTTTGCGTATTTGCGCGTTCCATCCTCTGTGCATAGCTTCTTCTGGGGGCCAAAAGCAACTCTAGTTCTCGTGCATGAGAGGTACTTTTGTCTCCCCAGTCAGTGGTCATTCTGTGATGGTTATAGTTCTCAAAATGGAATATGCCTTAAATATGCCGAATTTGGCCTTCACCAATTGGCGGAAGAGGAGTCTTGTGTATACCATGCAAACAGTGATCTACACATCATTCAAAAACCACCGATGGATGCAGCAACCAGTGGAGCTGGTGATTCTATGTTGCCTTCAAAATTCAATGGGAAAACTGTTCATGCATACAATGGTTTGTTTGTGACTATGACTGAGCATGACCTTGTATGTTGTAAGAAAAGCGGGATGTATAGCTTGCTGAACATGGCTGAGGATTTATGTGGGCCATTGCCTGTCTATCACCCTAAGGCTCTCCTCCATTGCTTGTTTTCTGGTATGTGATACTGATTCCCCAGAAAAGGTTTCTCAGTCTGGTCCATATCGATTTATCCTAAACATGTATGACTGAAACTCATGATTTATGCTTAGGGGACGTTTGTGGGCATAACACTCAAAGATGAAAGACGTTTTGCTTATTACCATGAAAATAGTAATATGCAAAGCTATGTAAAATATTTGCCTCTGGCTACAGTAATGTTCTTTCATTTTGAGTGATAACAGTGGGGTGAGAAGGAGAGGCTGCACTTAATCCAGTTGGGGGAGGTTTGTTGGCCTTAGATGGGATGCATATGGGGTTATCTTTTGTCAAAGTAGTTCTGAAGGATGGCTTGGGAAATGAGTAGGCGGCCTCGGGACTTAATTGTTGCCAAGGATTTTATGATGGTAGTTTCTTTGTATGGCTTGGTGGAAAAATTAAGTTTCAGGACTGTTCAGCCTGGTTTATGGATGGAGAGGGCATCATTGGGGAGGACAGGGCAGTGAGAAAGTTAGTTAGGCTTAAATAGGTTGTGGAGGTCATCATGATGCTTAGTAGCAAGATCCTTACAAACACCTGTTAGCTCTTTTGCTTTGAAGCCAAATCCTTTCTAAGAGACTCAAAAATCTGTGGATGCATTTCTTAGAGGACTTTCTTGCATTTTCATTTACTAGTGTCATGTTCTTTCTTCTTGAATATGATCCTTCACGTTATGAAATCATTGTTTCTGTAGAACTTCTATTTCTTTGGGAGACATAAGTGACCTGTCATTGCATGGCTGTAATACTCGTTCTCACTGCTCAGTGCCACAACAACCAATGACAGGAAAGTTTGTGCCACTAATGTATGTTTGTGTGTGCGTGCAAGCTATGAATCTGATGAAGAATTAAATTAATGTTATTGTTATATGCACAAGCTATACCATTTGATGGAAATGGCTAGGGATCCAGTGTGCACTGGTCAGTTAAAGTTTCTTGTATGTATAATGAAGATATCTACAGGGCTACATTTTTTACAAAGTTAAATTATCAGGGGATACAAAAGCTTTCATTTGCTACTAAATGTTAGTTTTGCCTGCTTATATAATGATAACCTCGCCATTGATATTCAGTTATCTTGGATAATGAGAAATCTATGTGCAGTCTGAGGGGAGTGAAATTCATCTACTGTGGTACTCATCAATCCTTGTTATGAATTTGAATAACTGTTCATTGATGCTAAGCATCAGATTTGGATTCCTGTTTCCTTTTAGTTTTGTTAACAAAGCGAATTTGCTATGTTGAAATCAAACTATACCTCTTCCAGTTTTTCCAAATTTTGCAGATATCTTATGGTAATTGTTATCTTTGCTATTTGTTACTTATCCCTTATTAATACCTTGACCATGGAACCCCGCTATTGTGCAGGAAACTGGACATGTGCTTATTCCGCATTGAAAGATCTTGTGTCATATCTCAGTTCCAATGTCATATCAGGAAAGTCATATAATGCTGTACCACAGATCAATTTGTCAGAATACTTTCAAGTGGTTCCCTCCAAAACTGTGTGTAATAAAGCGTTGCAATGGGGTCTTGGAATTACTTCTGAAGCATCTGCTACATCTCGAAAAAATTTGTTCCAGTCTGTACAAAGCAACTCCATGGTTCAAGAGACTGCATGTTTGACCACTTCATTCAATGGTATCATGGAAACTCTGGAAAATTCCCCTAATATACCTGGTATAACAGATGTTGAGAGAATCGAACTTCTTGCACTCACTGATCTCTTGGGTGATGTTAGTAACTCTAGCAGAGGTTCTACTTATTTAAGCCTTGATGGTCCTGGCCGGAGGTATTTCTTTACTTCTATTGCTGAAGTTTGTATATCTGGTAGAATTTTTGCATACAAAACTGGATGGACTATGTTTGAATTCCATTTTTTAACTTTCAAGTGGTAGCAGCAGCAGCAGTCGTAGTCGTGGTAATAGTAGCAGCAGCAGCAGTAGCAGTAGTAGCAGCAGCAGCAGTAGCAGTAGTAGCAACAGTAGGAGCAGCAGAAGGCATAGGAGTAGGAGTAGCAACAGAAGTAGTTTAAAAAAAAAGGGAAAAAAGAAAGAAAAAAGAGGAAACTACACAAGGCCTACAATGTGGACATATAGCTCTAACTGTTGTTTAAAGTCCACTAAATAAGTTAAAATTATGAATACTAATTATGAGATGTTTGCTAGCTCGTGAGCTTTAAGAAAAACTACACAAGGCCTACAAATGTTGACATATAGTGCAAACTGTTGTCAAAAGTCCTAAATTAAAAGCATGAATACTAATTATGAGATGTTTGCTAGGCTGGTCAACTACTTTATTTGAATGCCATGAGCCACAATAGTTGAAAGATATAACCTAGATTTATGTCAATCAACAAGTAGTAGAAGAGAATATGAGAGAGGAGAAAGAAGATGTGAAGAGAAAGAGGATATATGTAGCAAGAGATAGCAGAGAGATGATGGAGAGAAAGGGAGATGTGTGTGTAAGAGAGAGAGAGGTGCTTGAGAGAAAGTGGAGAGGAAAAAGTGGTGTGATCCCCTTTGGGATCAGTCATATATTTTTTATATTGATATGATAATTTTACAATAAATTCCCTTGCATAAGTAAATAATCCACACATAAACCCTATTGAATAAGATATTCCATTCATGCCCCTAGCTTACTGCTGAACTTTCAAGACTCCCCCCAAGCTGGGGCATAGATCAATCATTCCCATCTTGACAACTATATGTTGTAGTCTACTATGGGTAACTGCTTTTGGTGAAGGTATCTGCTAGATGATCTCTTGATTTCACATGAGGAGTACAAATAATTCCAGGAACAAGTTTTGCCCATATGAAATGTTAGTCTACCTCGATGTACTTTGTTCTCTCATGAGATACGAAGTTCTCAGAAATGTGGATGGCTGCCTCATTATCACAATGCAGAGTCATAGGTAACTAACTTTAATTCCCAAATCAGCCAATACAGTCCTAACCCACATAACTTACATGCCTCATGTTCCATGGCCTTGTTTTCAGTTTTTGTACTTGATCTAGCCTCTATGTTCTGTTCTTTACTCTTCCATGAAACCAGATTACCACCAACAAAGGTACAATAACCTGTAGTTAACCTTTTATCAGTCTGTGAACCAGCCTAATCTGCATGAATTTAGATTGTAACACCCATATGACCATAATTAGTAAATAAGGAACCGCTCCCAGTAGATGACTTGAGATGCTTCAAGATAAAATAACACCTAAGTGAGGTTTTCATGGGGCATTGATGTAGAGAGCTTGAACAAACAATAAAAGTCGGCAAGAAGATAACCGGACGTATGCAATTTTGGAGAAATCCAAAGGTTTCGTCCTACCTAGGGCTCAAGCCTTAGGCTTCTTTTTTTCTCAAGACAAGTCTTCTTTTTGAAAAGAGAAATACGTGATCGTTCCTCCAGCTCATCCATGCCCCTCTTTTATGTTAAATTTTTTTGTTTTGAACAATATTTGGTCCCAACTCAAATATAACTTGAAATTAAACTTCTTAACATATGATGTCCGAAGTCTCCATATGTGAAGGCAAAGCCACATTGTAAGCATTGCTGCTATCGTCTTCAAAATCTTGAACGGTTTTTCCATGCGATCATTCAGCTTGCTGTGCCTTCCCACTGGATGACGTTCCTTGCTGAGATACACCATTGCCAACTCTCCTATATTAAATTCCTTGAAACGACGATGCTTGTCTGCTTGCTTCCTTGTATTTGGCTGTATTTGCTTCTAGACTAGCACTTGTTTCATGCACTCCTTTCATCTGTTCAACCAAGTCCTCAACAATAGCATGACCCTCCCAATTGGCTTGGATAGGAACCAAGACAAGCGAATTAGTAGAGTTTTTCCCATATGCCACCTGTAACAGACTCTTACCAGTAGACATATTGCGAACACTGTTATAGGGAAACTCAGCTTAAGACAGGGCTACGTCCCATTGTTTCTTCTTTTCCCCCACAATGCTTCTCAGAAGATTGCCAAGAGTATGGTTTACCACGTCAGTCTGGCTATATGTCTGCGAATGATAAGCACTATGAAACTATAATTGAGTGCCCCCAATTTCTTTCACAAAGTTCCCAACATTAGCTAAGAAACTTCGCATCTCGATCTGAAGTTATTGTCTTTAGAGCACCATGCAACCTCACCACCTCTTTGAAGTACAAGTTAGTAACATGTGTGGCACCAGGGTCTTCTTGCAAGGTATAGAATGAGCTATCTTTGAGAATCTATCCACAGCTATGAATCTAAAATCTATGCCTCTTTGAGTTTGCAGAAATCCAACATGAAATCGATGCTAACATCCTCCTAAGGTGCGCTAGTAGTAGGATGTGGAGAATTAAGCCTGGTATTCTATCGTTGCCCTTTAGCAATCCGACATGCACGACACCTCTCAACAAACCACATCTCTCTTCAATTTTGGCACGTAGTGCTTGTACTCCACTAAACTATGGTTTTATTTCCAAGACCTCCCCTGTGAAGCTCTGCTATTAGGATTTCTCTAAGGGAACTTGCAGGAATACAAATATGGTTTCCTTTAAAGAGAAATTCATCTTGAATAAGAAAATCCCCATTGGCCCCACTATATCACTGGTCCCATATCTCCTTGAAGTCGTTATCATCTGCATAAAGGTCCTACATAAACTTGAACCCAATAATAGTAGTCGTCATGGTAGTTAAATAGAGTCTACCTTCTTCTCAAAGCATCTGCCACTATTTCTGACTGGCTGCCTTATGCCGAATAACAAAAGTGAACTGCAAATAGGTTACCCTTCGAGCATTTCCACGATTTAGTTTCTGTTGCCCATTAATATACTTCAATGCTTCTATAACTGAGAACAAAATAAATTCCCGTTGAATCAGGTAGTGCCTCCAATGCCTTAAGGCTTGAATAATAGCATAAAACTCCACATCATAAGTAGAATATTGTCAACGGGTGTTATTCAACTTCTCATCGAAGAAGGCAATAGGGCAACCTTCTTGGTTCAAGATTGCACCAATTCCAACATGCAAAGCATCACAATCCAACTCTAAGACTTTATTCATGGGTGCCTCTGTCATCTTCTGCTTCACCAATTGAAAACTTCTCGGCTTCGTCAGTCCATACAAATCCCCCCTTTCTTCAGACAATCTATGGCAGGTGCTATGATCGAAGTGAAGCTTTCGATAAACCTCTTGTAGAAAGTAGCCAACCCATGAAAACTGCGATCATCATGCACTGTAATCTGACTAGGCCAACCCTTGATAACTGCTACCTTTTGTCAAACCTTAATCCCCTCCACTAAAACAACATAACCAAGAAAAATTAAATTGTTTGTCATGAATTGGCACTTTTAAAGCTTCACATACAACTGCTGTTTCCGTAACAAATGAAACACCAACCGTAAGTGCTCCATATGTTCCTACTCACCAATGCTTTATACTAGAATATCATCAAAGTATACCACCATGAATTTCCTAATAGAAGGCTGGAACACTAGAATTATCACTGATCGCACTCATAAAAGTATTGGGTGCGTTGGATAGGCCAAATGGCATCACCAACCACTCATAAAGGCCCTCTCAGATTTTGAATGGGGTCTTTCACTCACCTCTGGGTCAAATACGGATCTGATGGTACCCACTCCTCAAATCTATCTTCGAAAACACAATAGCACTATCTAACATATCCAACATATCATCAAGTTGTGGCATTGAGAAGTAGTGCTTGACTATGATCTTGTTAATGGCCCTATTATCCACACAAATGTGCCCAAGTCCCATCCTTTTTAGGCGTCAACAAGGCCGAGACAGCGCAATGACTGATGATCTCTCTGATGAACCCCTTTTTGTAGTAGCTCTATGACCTACTTTTGCAACTCATCATACTCTGCTGGACTCATTCTATATGTGGCTTTGTTGGTTAGGCTAGACCCAGAAACGTGATCTATGTGATGTTGGATGTCTCGCATGAGTGGTAACCCCCTGGCTAGCTCATCCAGAATGACATCACTATAGTCCCTCATTAAGGGCTCTCACTTGGTGGAACCAACTACTGTTTTAAAATGTGGTCGCATAATGTGTTATGCGTTGGCAACCACATTGCATGAGCGCATATACGGCCTTGGAGGGATGTGCGCTCATATATGTGCTGCATCCACCGCATATGCGGTCGCTTTCCACATAGCCCACATAGGGTTCATATGCGGCCAATGTGTAAAGTGAAAAATAGCCCCTCGAAAACGGGTACTTTCATCTTTTTAAGCCGCAAAAAAGGGGGAAAAGGGTTTGGGGGATATATACCCCCCAAACTACCAAAAACGGCCACGTTCATGGTCTTTACTTCATCAAATTGATAAAAAAAAGTGGCAGAAATTTATTTTTTTTGAAATTTTTAGATTTTCGTCCTGGTTGATCTGTGGTTGTTGATTTGTTTCTTTTGGGTGTTGATTTTAGGAAGTTTTAGCGAAGTTTTGACAACAAATCGAGGGTTTCAAGGGCTGAGAAGAAATCGATATTTTCTTCTAGTAATCGGTAACTTTTTTTTTCCTAATACAATAATACTTTTGTTTGGGGCAATGTCTTCTTTACAATCTTTTAGTAACAAGGATCCGGTTTGGAAACATGCAAAACTAAAAAAATTTGAAAGACCGAAATTGTGTTATTTGTATGCTTTGTGGAAATACTTATATGGGGGATATTTTTCGGCAAAAAGAACACTTAGCCGGTATTTATGGGAATGTATGAGCACATGAAGACAATCTAAATAATTTGTCCGATTAGGATTTGGAATAGAGAATCTCAACTTTCA